CACACTGTCAGTTGGGCTTGTTTGGTGAGTCAGGTCGAGATTCATAAACATTCTCACAGTCGCGCTTTGAAAGTAACTAAAAGTAGTGACTACTTTTCAAAAAGTAGCTAAAAAGTAGCCACTACTTTTTCTGGAAAAGAAGCTAAATTGTAGCTGCTACACATTTTGGGAAAGCAGCTACAAAGTAGCTAACATTACTGCTACTGAGAGCTGATTGGTTAGCATTACTGCTACTGAGAGCTGATTGGTTAGCATTACTGCTATTGAGAGCTGATTGGTTAACATTACTGCTACTGAGGGCTGATTGGTTAGCATTACTGCTACTGAGCGCTGATTGGTTAGCATTACTGCTACTGAGCGCTGACTGGTTAGCATTACTGCTACTGAGTGCTGACTGGTTAGCATTACTGCTACAGAGCGCTGATTGCTTGGCATTACTGCTACTGAGTGCTGATTTGTTGGCATTACTGCTACTGAGAGCTGATTGGTTAGCATTACTGCTACTGAGAGCTGATTGGTTAACATTACTGCTACTGAGTGCTGATTGGTTAGCATTACTGCTACTGAGTGCTGATTGGTTAGCATTACTGCTACTGAGTGCTGATTGGTTGGCATTACTGCTACTGAGTGCTGATTGGTTAGCATTACTGCTACTGAGTGCTGATTGGTTGGCATTACTGCTACTGAGTGCTGATTTGTTGGCATTACTGCTACTGAGTGCTGACTGGTTATCATTACTGCTACTGAGTGCTGATTGGTTAGCGTTACTGCTACTGAGGGCTGATTGGTTAACATTACTGCTACTGAGTGCTGATTGGTTAGCATTACTGCTACTGAGTGCTGATTGGTTAGCATTACTGCTACTGAGCGCTGATTGGTTAGCATTACTGCTACTGGGTGCTGATTGGTTAGCGTTACTGCTACTGAGAGCTGATTGGTTAGCATTACTGCTACTGAGGGCTGATTGGTTAGCATTAACACTACTGAGTTCTGATTGGTTATCATTACTGCTATTGAGTGCTGATTGGTTAACATTACTGCTACTGAGCGCTGATTGGTTAACATTACTGCTACTGAGCGCTGATTGGTTATCATTACTGCTATTGAGTGCTGATTGGTTAACATTACTGCTACTGCGAGCTGATTGGTTAACATTACTGCTACTGAGGGCTGATTGGTTAGCATTAACACTACTGAGGGCTGATTGGTTAGCATTAACACTACTGAGTTCTGATTGGTTATCATTACTGCTACTGAGCGCTGATTGGTTATCATTACTGCTATTGAGTGCTGATTGGTTAACATTACTGCTACTGAGCGCTGATTGGTTAACATTACTGCTACTGAGCGCTGATTGGTTATCATTACTGCTATTGAGTGCTGATTGGTTAACATTACTGCTACTGAGAGCTGATTGGTTAACATTACTGCTACTGAGAGCTGATTGGTTAACATTACTGCTACTGAGGGCTGATTGGTTAGCATTAACACTACTGAGTTCTGATTGGTTATCATTACTGCTATTGAGTGCTGATTGGTTAACATTACTGCTCCTGAGTGCTGATTGGTTTACATTACTACCATTTTTAAAAATGACAAAAAAACATTTGATAAATATTTGGAATATATATATTTTTTACAATCAGCTGTCATTATTAATACAAATGCATACAAGTGTAAAGTCTGTACTGCTAAAAAACAGCAGAGACCGTCATGGATGGTCACCAGCAAAACCAGCATATGTTGTTTTTTCGATGCTGGTGTGCTGGTCAACCATCATGACCAAGCTGGGTGGACCAGCTAAACCAGCACCAGACCAGCATAAATCAGTTAAACCAGCACGCTGGTCTGTGCTGTTTTTCCTCAGGGTTTTAAAAGCTCTTAGTGTGTAGAAAATGACCATGAAGAGTCAAGTAGATTTCTTTATTTTGTTTGCTCACATATTTGAATATATGTAGTGTAAACGATACATTAAAACAGTACATCGATACCTGTTTTGCACACATTGCTGATATTTTCCTGCGTTTTCTCTGTCTTTTTATTTCTATTTCATTAACCAGAGAGTTCTGGTTACCTAACTGTCCACATCAGGACACTTTGGTCTGCACTGACAATAAAGACTAATGACACTGAGTTTAGCTTCAGCTCAGATAGAAACACAATAAAGACACAGATCAGCAAACAAATCAATCACTTCAGCTTCATTTACAGACAAATACGCACCATATAAACCCCCAAACACAGTACAGAGAGGCGGATTTAGTGTGACTCCAGACTGGATTAAGGCAGGACTGCAGTTAAACTGCTCAAACATTTACCCAAAACAATCACTGTGAAACAGTTTAACTTCAGGTTCAAGTTTAAAGATCCTGTTTAGATTAAAAAGTACATTAACTTTCATACAAAACCAGAGACACAAAGAATTACCCACTGGATAATACAAAAACAAACAAACAAACAAAACACATCATCAAAACAACAGTAACATCACAGAAGACGACTAAAACGCTCTTAACATGTAAAATACTGTAAAGATTTTGATTTTAGAGCGTTTCTATTAACTCATCATGAAATACTTGCATAATGTATTTTTACAGTATAAAAACAGTATAACAGCATAATTGAAAATCATATTTGCTAACGTCATACATGGTATATATATGTTCGCTTGAACACACAAATACATTAACAAGACAAAAAAAACAAAAAAAGTAAAAATAAGCAAAAACAAATCGGATTAACCTTATTATTGAATATCGTTTCATATTCAAATCTTTGCAAATTCTTAACGTTTTAAGGGTTTTTGAATTTGTAGCTTTTTAAAAAGATTTAAAAAATGACTTTAGTGTCAAAATACTAATCTTTTTCTATGTTTCTATGTGTAAAAAAGTTTTATATAGTAATTCTATATTGCATAGTAATGTACAGTACAGCTCCCTCTCACAGCAAACTGAGCTCAGTGTTTTTCAAGTTCAAGAAAAAACTAATCCTCCTTTGTGGAAGAATAAAAGTCCCTTTCTTATGTACCAAGGTCAAAACACAACACACATCTTATTAATGGACCTATATGCTCTACTTACAGCTAATGTTTATGATTATGTACCATATTACAGGAACACTGTTCGTTAAAGCACCACAGTGTGTCAAAATAAAGAGCGACAGTGCGGGAGAATAAAAGCCCTGTGCAGGTGGGCTTTTTTGTGCCTCACATCAACTTTGTCAGCAAATACCTACAACCCTGTTTCCAAAAAAGTTGGGACGCTGTGCAAAATGTAAATACAAACAGAATACGATGATAGACAAGATAATTATCAAATGTTTAAACTGAGAAATTTTATTGTTTTTTATTATTTGATGCCAAACGTTCCAAAAAAGTTGGGACAGGGCAACTAAAGACTGGTGAAGTTGTGTAATGCTAAAAGAAAATAACAGTTGGAACATCTTACAACTAATTAGATTAATTGGCAACATATCAGTAACATAAATGGGTATAAAAAGAATCTTTCAGAAGTAAAGATGAGGAGGAGTTCACCACTCTGTGAAAGACTGAGTGAGCAAATAGAACATAATGTTGTTAAAAGATTCAGAGAATCCAGAGAACTCTCTGTAAGTAAGGGACATGGCTGAAAACCAACATTGGCTGGCCGTGATCTTTCGCCCTCACAAACACAATTCTGTAGTGGAAATCACTGCACGGGCTCAGGAACACTTCCCAAAACCACTGTGAAAACAGTTCATCACAGTTCAAAGGCCAGCTAAAACTCTACCATTCAAGAAGAAATCATATACAAACAGAATCCAGAAATGCTGCCACCTTCTCTGGGCCTAAGCTCATTTAAAATGCACTGAGGGGAAGTGGAAAAGTGTCCTGTGGCCCGATGAATCAACATTTGAAATTCTTTTTGGAAATCATGGACGCTGTGTCCTCCGGGCTAAAGACCACTCAGCTTGTTATCAGTGCACAGTTCAAAAGCCAGTATTCATGATGGTGTAGGGGGGCATTAGTGCACATGGCATGGGTGACGTGCACATCTGTGAAGGCACCATTAATGCTGAACAATATATACAGGTTTTGGCAACATATGCTGCCATCCAGACAACGTCTTTTTCAGGGAAGGCCTTGATTATTTCAGCAAGACAATGTAAAACCACATTCTGCATGTATTACAACAGCATTCCACCATTGTAAGAAGTCTGGGTGCTAAACTGACCTGCCTGCAGTCCAAACCTGTCACCACTGAAAACATTTGGCGCATGAAAAATATGCCAAATGAGACCCTGAACTGCTGAGCAGCTGAAATTTACGCATTAAGCATTTGAAATATTGACTTGTACTATTTTAGAGTAAATATAGGTTTTAAATGATTTGCATATAATTGCATTTTGTTTTTATTTACATTCTGCACAGCATCCCAACGTTTTTGGAAATGGTTGTATTTCAGATTTTTACACTTTTATCAATTTAATGCAAGTAATTTGACAGTGAAGATGTCTAATATGCTCAGATTTTGTAAAATAAATCTGAAAAAACTTCTAAGTTAGAAGAATTTGGTTGAATATGAAATACTTGTTCAGTGTGACTCATTTTAAAAACCTTTAACTACTAAAATTTCTTAAAATAGAAGAACTCTTCAGTAGGAACGGAACATTACAGGTTAACAGACTTTAAATTTAAAAAAAAAGATTGTATCGGTGTTCGGAATTGAACGATATCCTGTGTTCACACAGAAAATCCATATGAGGAGAGAAAAAGCTGGATCGGTGCATACATAATTATTACAAACACCACCATCAGTATAATAATCAGTAAACATCACCAGTAATAACAAAAAATCATCATCATTCCAAATAGTAGAATTTATCTTCTTTTTCTAGATTCAGCCTGAGGGTCTCATGGCATCACTACATTCATCCACAGAGCTGATCAGCATGTGGATCAACATGTTATGTTGACGTCAATGTTGACAAAAACAGCCTTTATGGTGACGATGCCTACTTAAATAAGTGTTTATAAATGTTGATGTAGGTCCTTGTGGGTTATAATGATGAACTTTTGTAGGCGTCCTCTAGCTTTATGAACACTCACCTACAGTAAAGTGTTACTGATCGTTTTCTATAAGTAACTTATTTTATTACCAATAATAATCGATTCTTAGATGCATCATCATTCATTCCAGCACTGTGGCTCTCACTGGCGCTAAGGTGTTGGACATCTGCCGCTACCTGTGGCCTTTATTCACATTTAGGCTCTGCCACTGGGCTCATGTGAGAGACAGAGGGGGGACATGGAGAGGGAGGGATGAGGTAAGAAGGAAAGGCTGACATTAAACCTGTGTAGGGTTCCAGGGGCTGAGGGAAAACACAGGAAGAAGGGACAAGCACCAAAGGGTGGGCTCCATTTCCAAGAGGCTGGGACGTTCCTCAAACAGCTCCAGTGCCTTTATATCCTCCAAAGCAGGTCCAGCAGGGATTGGTGGTGAGTCAGTTACCTGTGGAGGAGAGCCTGGATGAAGGTGGGGAGAGAGAGAGAGAGAAAGAGAGAGAGAGAGAGAGGAATAAAAGTTAATCTAAAAGAAAAATAATAACAGAGTGATACTAATAAACAACTTTCACATCATAACTGTGATCTTTTCATCTTTGTAAATAAAGGTCTTCCATTTCAGATCTAACTGGGCTGACGGTGATTTTGTTCTCATTATTGCAGGTGACGTCCTGATAGTTTTTCCTGTCGCTGTGTTTTGTGTAGGGCTGGGAAAAGTGACCAATTAGATAGACACAATTTCCAAATGTGTTAATGTCCCACAATATCATAATATCAGACTAGAGTCTGTTACTGAAAGCAGTGCAGTCATCACCCTACTTATTTAACACGTACGCCCTCTTATGGAGAAACAAAGCAACAGCAATTCACCAAAAAGCTGGTTTCACACAACCAACACATCACTTCACTATAAAACATACGTCCACTCAGCCACATTTGCCTAATGATGACAACATAACTGAGTTAAAGCATAACAGAGTGAAATTCAGACAGCTGAGACATAAAAAGACGAGGAAAAACAACAGCAAATGTAATTTTTTTAAATTTTTATAATGTAATAATTATCCCAGGCTAAATCATACTGACACAGTGGGCTTTCTGCTTTTGTAGTAAAGGAGCGGGGTAGTAAAGAGAATTTGGTTTGGAAATGGGTAGAAAATGACATTCTACTCTGTCGGGTCGAGATCTCATTTTTACAAAGGTGCTTTGACCTAGGAGTGAAAGATGATAACAACAACAACAACAACAACAACAACAACAACAAGATGAAGTAGAGGAAGAATTGTTTTTATATTAAAATTGCAATCTGAAATAAACAAGAGCTGCAATTGTAGCCTACATTATCAATAACATTGCCTTACCAAGTTTAACACATTTGTCCTGTTAAACTTGTTGCCTGAAGATGATTAGATCAATCAGAAGCAGCAAACACACACTATGACATCACACCCACACCTAACTGACATCCACTTAATAATCTGATAACTGCAGAAAATTAGATTTTTTCTATTTTATTCTTATTCAGATTTCTAGATTGGAGTGTGGGGTTTACGTGACCATTTGAATAATCAGATAACTGCAGAAATCTGATTATGATCGGATTACTGGGTGCAGATAAACGCACTCAGTCTGGAACACTATGGTCAGTGTTCAAACCTCAAGCCAGAAAAATGGACTTGCTGGTCTTCTTGTCCAAAAAATAAGCGTAGAATTCAAATTATAGAAAATAAACATTACTTAAGTCACAGCTGTAATTTTAGTCAGAGAACAGGACAGAGAAAAGAACCTGTGTGATGAGTTTCACTGTGTTTGAGTAAATTATTAGTCTTCCACGCTCACTGATGGAGACACAGTGTGTGTTTGGTGTTATCTGTGTCTAAAAGCCTGTGAGAGAATAAAGTGCTGATAATTATGGGAAACGATCATCAGCAGAAATATTATCAGTTATTCTCTCTGTTCAGTTGGAAGAGGAAACTTCAGGCAGACAGATTATTTCTACTGCATGTTCTCAACCACAAGTCCACTTTTACTTACGATCATTTGTTCTGCAAGAGTTTAAACTGTTGACCCACAGCTTCAGGAACCTGAAAAGCAACATATTTATGGACGTGTTAAAGTAAATATACGGGGCAGTTGATTCTCTGAGAATCTGAAATAAAGATCAAGAGTCCCCAAAGTTCTGCTGTGTAAAAGACTCTGTAGTATCCTCTGATACTCTTATAGTGTGTTTTCACAAAGAAACTACAGATATTTACCAACAATACACAATAAATCACCATTAGAACCCAAAGTAAACTGGGTCCCGACAATGCAGATTCCTTACCAGTCAGATTAATGTTCACATTAACATTTTCAGTGCTGCTCCAGTTTGATAGACAAGTAGATTCCCTTCCTGAAAAAGAGTCAGTAAGGTCACATCACAGCTGATTTACAGCAGACAGATATTCTTAATCACAAATCTCAGATGTTGGAATATTAATATCTGAGCCAGCATCAAAACCAGCAGCTGTATATGTAGAGAGTTCAGATACATATGGATTAGAACGAGTAGAGTGTAGAGAGGAGGAGATTAACCCATTAACCCACTGCACTGATTCACACAAAGAATTTTATATTTCTGTTCACTGGAGTTTTTAATAAGTAAAGCTCAAAAACAAAGTTTATTAATAATATGTGTCTGAGTTTATCATGTACAGGATGATGTACATTTTTTTCTCTCAAAACCAAAAATACTAATTACTCCCAAATCCTATATTTATGCACATTTTAATATAATACACACATTAATATACATCACATTAATGACACATAGATCACAATTATATAATGACCAGATTTTCAAAAGTTTCCAGGTGAATAAATCTCAGAAATGCAGAGATAAAGATGAATAGATATTCATTAAATGTGTGGAGTTTAGATTTGGACCGATTATTTCATCAGGAGAGAAAGTAGGAGAGGGGGTCTTGGCCTGGGGGGCTTCTTCTACCAAGTTCACCTGTTTTATGATCTTGTCATGCAGAACTCAGACTGCTCACCTGATCTACTGTGCCTGAACAGTCTCCACTTATCACTCTGAACATGAAGCTTCCATAGTTTGCACAGAAAGATGACGCTGTGTTTTGATAACTTAAGTGGAGAATTCTGTCATTGACCTGAGTCGAGTTGATCTTACTACACTAAACATGCTCTTCAGCAGATTATTACATAGTTTCTAAAGAAAGAACGAGTTGGAGAATTAGCAGAAATCAGTCTGCAAACTCTGTGAAGTGACTCATGATAAAACAGGTGTGTTGTTCATTATTCTGCTGGGTGAAGCCCAGTAATAATATGATTCAGGTGAGATTCTGAACATAAACTTAGGAAACATCAATATTTTAAACACCAGAACAATCTGTTCATATTGTACCGAAGCAGTTTTACAGCATTACTAAATGTCTGAAATGTTTATATAATGTACTTTATGTAGCTCATATTTATCAAAGCATTAGAGAATGTTGTAAACATGATGTTGTTTGTGTTGTGAGTACTGGTTAGTGTAGCTAAGTCTGTATTTATGTGGACGCTGAACTGAAAGATCATTTGTAATGTTTAGGGTTAATTCATTGTTTAACCTTCCAGAGTGAGACACTGTACAGAGTTAATGTTGTTCTGTTCTCACAGTGTGTTCTGGTTTCTCTGAGCAGTGTGGTTTAGGGGTCTCTTTGCTGTGTGATAAACACTCTTAGAGAAACCTGAACACACCGTGAGAACAGAACAGCATTAACTCTGTACAGCAGCTTCCTATGGAGGATTAAAAATGAATCCATGTAAATTAAATAAATACATTTATTTATTGCTGCTTTTATGTTTAGACATTTTTGACAAAATTATGCAGAGAATATTTTGATCCTCAAACATTAACCTTTTAAACCCACAGTGATAAACTACTTACCGTTGCTGAAGATTACATTTGGATGATGATTGTCTCTTTTACCTGAAAGCAAGAAGTTAATTTATTGACTTCATCAATTCATTGATTCATTTATGAATATACATCCACAAACCTGAATCTATTTCATAGAGAATAAAAGTCACAGGCAGAAATCACTGCAGACTGCAGCTCTCATACGCCTCAGCTGGATGAACTCTACACAACTTCCTAAATCCCTAACCTGTAATAAGGCATATTTCAAAACCAACTGTCTCAGACTAAACATCGGTCTTTCACAGAATTTCTTTTGTTGGTGTATCAGAGCTGAGACTAAGCTTGTTTGGGCTGTATGAGCTCCAGAGAACAGCAGTGTTGATGAATATGTAGTAATAAATCATTTTACTATGAACTGAAACTGTAAAGTGATGTGTTGAAGTTCTGGTTATTATAGAAGGACTAAGGTTATAAAAGCTCTCGCACATTTATCAGTATTCAACAAGCAGCTCCTCCATCTCTGTGATCCACTGTATATTTTAATGTCCTAGCTCTTATTGGTTGAATCACTCATTCAGTTACGACACTGACCATCTCAGACTACAGGACTCATGAATGTTTAGAGTCATACAAATAAAACATGTTTGAAAATATCAGAAGGCCTTCAATCACTCCAGAGCTCAATAAGAAAACAAAGGATTTACACACTAGCAGATCATCTGTGCCATCATTCGCTTCTGATCGAGCTCCCAACCTAGAGAATCACTTCAGATTGTCACAAACAGCTTGAAACCTCAGCAACACCACTCATTCAGTACACGAGCAGAGTACATGATGGTGTATTTATAATATCTTTAATATTTCTACTTTACACAAAACCTGTATTGATATAGTCTATACTCACCAATGATCCCCTTCTTTTTCAGAAAAAAGAAGATGACCCCAACCAGCATGACCAGCAAAAAGCACATCACTCCTACAATCAGACGACTCTGGCAGTCACTGCATTTTCCATCTGCACACAAATAAAAATCCTCAGCTTAACTGATAGCAGAATGATGTGATTCTAAATTGTGGCCTCCTCTTCTATCATTTATATTTGGAGGAAAATGATTTGGCCTATTAAACTACAGAAATTCACCTCCAGAAAAGCTTCATCCTGTGGAAACTGCACCTTCAAATCAACCTCCAAATTCTGACCACTTTTGTTTATCTAGTACAGATTTGTGGAATAGTTCCGACATCATTTAGTGAATTTACTATTCTGATATCAGAAATTCAATTTAAACTGAAATCGGTGATCTACAGTAACATGTTTAATCTACAGTAACATCTTTGATCTACAGTAACATCAATTCGTCGTGTTGTGCGAGTGATGGAGCTGCTTCAAGTTAGCCAGCTGCTAAAAACACCTAGCCTGGAAAGACAGCGCTCTCCCGCTCTCCACTGCCTCACAGCTTCCTCAGTTTACTTTCGTTTAAATCAGGGCTGTAACTCACATCAACCACTTCATTAACTTTCGTTGCTCTGGAAAGCACTAATACTAAAATATGACTGGGCGCTGTAACAGTGCTGTAGTTGTGTGGAGCAGACATGATTTAACGCTGCTAAAGCTGTTAGGATGTACAGAAAGAGGTGAGTTCACCGTAGGACAGTACAGTTACACCACTGACCTCGTCACTCAGACTCGCTCACAGGAGAACAGATCGCCGGTCGCTCCACTCACACAGGGAATGTATAACTCCACATTTCAGACGTGGTTAAAGTATATTTGACAACTCATTTTACTCGTCTCCCCCTCCCTCTCTAATCAAGTCGGAAAACTTGGAAGTGCACCCTCTCCTGGCAACAGCAGAGTAGTGTCCCTTTCCTTGCAGTAGAAAACGCCACCAGAGCTGTCGCTAGAATGTGGAACTGAGAGAATGGTGTATTATATCGAAAATTGATCAAACATTTCTTATAGTTCTATCGAGGAAAGTTATATCACGATGATTATCATTATCGTTTTATCGCTCAGCCCTAGTGTGAACCACTGTTTCCTAGTTTTAGATGCTGTGTGTTGGTGTGTGCCGTGTGTTGGTGGCTTTTTAGGGTCTGCAGATGTGTGGAGCTTTATCCACAAGATGATGTAAATGAACTGCAATGCAGGGGCTGTATTTCTCTAATATTTTTATTTTTTCTCCCAGTTCTACAATCCACCCCCCCCCCGTCCACCATTTCCCCCAGTTTACTTCAGTTCCACCCTTTGCTAGGTCTCCCTCAATCACACGATGCTCCCAGTGCTGGGAGGGTGCAGGCCAGCGCATGGTTCCTCAGAATCATGTGAAGCCACTGCATCCTTTCGAATGCGGAGAACACAAATAAACACCCACACTGGCCACCATCATTTTGAACTGTGGATTCTCTCTCTTTTCTCTTGGACTCCTGGCTAAGGATGGTTACGGATGACATCACTGGGGATCGATCTCCTGATGACAGGGATCAATGCTTAGATGGTCGCACCACTCAGGAGCTCACAGGAGATGTTTTTTAAAATAATAAAGTAGCAAATGTTGCATTTTCCATTGAATCCAGATCCTGGTGTTGATTAAACTGGGCAAAGGTTTTTCGGTTCACCTCTTTTAAGTTTACCACAAGAAGTGTCATATTTTAGTCCCTGTTCATCTGCGAAATTACCGCTGCTAAATAGAGTTAAAAGCTGCATTATACAAACTTAACTGCAATAAATTTAGAGGGCAAGAATTTCCTCTGGAATAGTTTACACTCAGCCATGAATGTGGATAAACACAAATATACTTACCCCATTGTTTAATTACTGGTGTGTTGATGGAGCTGTGATTCACATAACAGTAATAATCTGCTGTTTCGTCCTCCTGGATCTCCACACTCTTCCTCAGCTGTAGGTTCCATCATCATTGGGTCTGACTCCTGAGATCTCAGTAGATGTTCAGGCAGTGAAGTGGTTGAACTTCCTCAGTGTTTAATCTCCACGTCTTTGGGGTAGAAGCCCGTGGCCAGGCAGGTCAGGTTCAGCTTCTTTGGGTCAGTTACAGATTTCTTTGCAAACACATGAACATCTGGTGGAGCTACAGAGAGAATAAGTGTAAATGCACAATTTAATATTCAACAGATTTCAGTTCTTTATCAAAACTAAAAATAGCCAAAAAATACCAAAAAGCATCACTCAGCTTTTGAAGTTACATATACTGACACAGAAATATATGAATCTTTGATGAATGTGTTGTACGTAATTCATACATAATTAATCGGTTAAGATGTAAACAAGTTATTCAGACGTTATTCAGAAGTTATTCACAGTGGTTCGATATCATTTTTAAAGACTTTAACGCCCCTAAAAGCTCCCTTACAGCTCCCTCCTCAAATTATCACTGTTTTTCATCATCAACGTTCCATATAAACTCAGAAGACTCGTGTAGGTTCACTGGTGGTCTGGATAGTAAATAAATGTCTATATTTGTGTTGTAGTCATGGCGACCCCTGGTTCCTATCACCACCACTGTAAAGACATCTGAACCATTTCACACCAAACCACTCTGAATCTCTCTGTTTACACCTCACACACTGAGTTATGGAGAAATTTAATTCCCCTTTCAATGCTGTATTTATATTTATAATTACTGCAGTGTGTCTGAGTACAAAGAAAGCTGATATTGAAAAATAATTACACTCCTATTACTACTGCTTTATAATTATTACTCTGATCATGGCAAATATCCAAATAATCACACAGTTTGAGGTTATTACTACTAATAATATAGGATTGCCAACTCTCATGAGGTCAAATCAGGCTGAGACTCCTGATTTTGGGCCTTTTTCAAGCTCTCACAGGACAGGTGCACTGCAAGTGAATTTGGCATCGGAAATTTCCCAAAATTAAAAATGTGGAGTCAGTAAAAAATAGTGAGGGGTTGTGGGATAGCAAGCAGTGCAAACATTATATGTGAAAAGCTGAGCTGACTTCAACTTTATACAAATTACATGCAGCGCTGACCAATCGGGCAAAAGCAACTCTCCATCACAATGAGATGTGCCTGCATAGTTCTGTCTGGATGACATGGATGAGAAGTTAATACAGAGTCTGGGTAAACCAAATACTCACTGTGTTTGGCTTCAATAGAATTATAGCGCAAACACTCCTTCAGCCAGTGCACACAGTCTTCACATCTCTGATCAACAGGTCCAGCGTTCCACTCCTCCTCCAACACTTTAGCCTGACTGACTGAGGCTGACCATCTCTTCGAGGTCCAGTTATAAGAGATTATAGTCTGTCCATCGTAGCCGTATTCATTAGTGCAGTTTAACACTGAAACTGAGCCGTTAGAATGTTTTTGACACTTACAGCTGATTCTCCACTGCAGAGTGTGACCATCTGAAACATAGATGATAAACAGAGAATGGTATAATTCACTGAACATCATTAGACACTGACTTTTTATGGTTTATCAGGAAAATGTGACTGTTTTACTTGTGTTTGCAAGGTATGTACATTAAATCAGACTTTGTGAGTGTGGCCGGCTCTTGTGTGGCTTTATTGCTAACTAGGCTAACTACTCTAGCCGATGTTGGCTCCTTACAGAAACAGTGAAAACACATTTCTCTGACAGACTAACATTTTGGTGCATCGTCCACTGAGAAAAAAAGTGTTAGCATTAGCTCATCTGAAGAGGCAGCCTCCATTACACATCTAATACAAAACCTAAGCTGTGTCCACACTGCAGCTTTTAGTCAAAGGTTTGTTTATCTCACTTTTTCCTCCACACAGTTAGCTGAACATCTGTTTGTAATCTCTTACACATACTCAAATATCAGAATTAGTCAGGTTGGACATTCTTGGTCAGACAGGATTCCTCTGAAGGTTCATGTCCAGAAAAAAAGAATTGACTTGTTAAAGTGTGGATATATCTGATATTTCACTGCGTCCTGAACTCGGCATTGAGCTGAATCATTTAAATGATCATCTAAGCAGAATATAATTGTACATCTAACGTTCTCCTCTGCATGAAAAATAAAAGGTTCTCACCTGACTCATCGTGTCCGAAGGCCTTCGTCTGGTTGTTGAGAATCTTGTTTAACCATTCCCCATCGTACTTCAGTTTATCACTGCATGCTTTACACTCACTCTCCTTCATCTCCTTCATCCAGTCCTGTTTAGGAGTCCTGACCCCGTCTGTACTGCTGTAGGAGTCAATCTGTCTGTCATCCAGCAGAGTCACTGCACTGAACTCAGAGACTCTGTCTGTAGAGCTTTTAGACTGGACAGTGTA